TAAAAAGAGGCACATCAGCCGTGGGTTACAATCCCATTATTCTATCAGGTTTCATCCTAATACTCGCTAGGTTTCCTGGACCTCATTATTCCTAAAAGGAAGTTGTTTCTAATTCCAGTAATGGTTTGATTATCATCGTAAACATTTTCTTCAGTTTTACTAACGTTATGCTCTTTTTCCTCCCTGACATTTAGCTATAAATATATATTTAAATATATATATTTAAAAAGAGGGCACAGAATACCAGCTTTAATTTTGGCCAGGCTAAACAGTCCGTGCTCTTTCGGTTGCCGGTAATATCATGCTCATAGCCGTTCTCAGTTCCCATTCTAGTTAGCATTAGGCTTTTTCGGTCCTGGGAGGTTAGAGGGCTCACCAATGACACATCAGGAATGACATTATGTTTCCTTACCTGTAGTGGAAATGGTTCTCCTAATTCATTCTAATATTACTTTTGTCTGCGTCAGAGTGACATCAAATGGTTAGTTATAATAATCCTTGGGTCAACAAATACAGCCAGATTTTCCCTCCTGTTCTTCTCCCATTTCTAACCGATAACCTTAGAGCCCTATAACCCTACATATTATCATTTAGAAAAGGCCTATTTCTGGTCTGTATATGTCTACTTTTGCATTTTTGTTACTCCAGCCCAAAATGTGGTCCAGTTTCCTAGATAGTATTTGGATCATCTTCTGTATTGACTAGGCTTCTCTACAGTTCCCTGATTTGTAATCAACAAATGTCATAAATCTATTCCTAATTCTCATGCCAGCATTGTTTAAGAAAACAGTAAATGAGATCGAGAATTGTCCCAAAATCACCTCACACAGTCTTTACCTTTTGACTTTCCTCCAGCCTAACGTTCCTCACTGAGCACAGTCTGTGGTCAGTCCTCCTCCCTCCCATTTCCCAGCTCTCAGGTCCTCACTCATCTTAAAATTCTTGCACCAATATCCCTCCTTCCCTCCTTAACTAGTAATTTCCCAGGGGGAGCCTTTTATCACCGAATTGCTTTCGTGAATCAATTGTTTAAGCACAATCCTGTGAGGTGTTGTCCAACCAGCACAGCTGCTGAGCATCCTCCAGTGTCATTACATTGATGAGAACACGGAGCCCTCAGCGTGTTTCCAAATGTTACTGATTTAGGCCATAATTCATCATAAGGACCCCTCCTCAGCAGGATATCAAAAGTCTGCTCTTTCTTGCTATGTTGGCTCTAAGGAATTCACTTTTTACACTTTAACTGCAGATTTCATGGTTATAGTCATAATGCAATCACCATTTAGTACCTTTTCAATATAAAAGGCATGCACCAACTTTGTTCAGTCCATCTTTTCCAAAGATACAATGCAGACTGTTCTGTTTTAAGCATAGATTTTCAAAGTCTCTTGCACAATGTTTAAAAGCATTTCTATTATAATTTAAAATGTAGAAAACCAGCTTGTAACTGTGTTGTTAAGCATTTGAAATTCTTTCACCTCTTCAATTGACTTCACTTTTTTTTTTTTTTTTTTTCTAAACAGATAAAATAGACAGGTACACTGCTGGTACTTATATGAATTTTAATATCATTTACTGTGCATATACCAACCACCCACTCCTTAGAACATTTTTACGTACTTTGCTTTTCAAACTACACTGCATAATACTCCTTATTTGAACAGTATTTCTTGTTCCTCTGTTAAATCTAGGTAAGAGAAGTAGTGTGGCAGTGTCTGTCCCTTTAACACCTATTATCCTATTTGCCGTGATTTTGCATAATTAAAATATTGTGAAATATCCATAGTGTTCACTTTGCATAAGTTTTGGCAGGTGTAATATCTCACCAATGTGGCAACAGCATTAGACAAAACATGGAAAAAGATCATCGTGTTTAAACTCCCATCTGTGTATCATTGGGTCAAAGGAGCTAATAGTCTGTCATTAAGAAAAGGCTTGGTTATTTTTGTCTAAAATATCTATAGAATTAATGTTTAAAAAAATCTCAGAAGTTGTGTGCTTTCATAGACGTTTTTCTTCCATAATGAAAAACAAAAATCTGATAATATATTAGCAAATGAATACCAGCTAAAATACTGATTTAAAAGGGGGAGGATTAATAGTATTTAAAGGAGAGAAATGACCAGTCTTTAAAATCATTTCTATTTATAACAAAGAAAACTAAGAAGCATGGCAGACAGGATCTTCAAAGGTTTTTTAAAAGTACTGCCATCAGCTCCCAATCAATAGGCATTAGATACTCAAATTAATGAGTTCAGTTCGCATCTTGAAAGGTATCTGGGTGCTTAATCGCTTTTACCTTTCAGATCACGTTTAAGGATAAAATGATAGTTCCACTCAAAATACTTTGGTGTAACACCTTGCACGTCCAGCACCTGGGTAACCTGTAGCACCCACTAAGAAGTAGCGTAATGGATACTTCTACTGTATGTTCCTTACTTGTCTGAATATGCTCAGTGGTGGTCTACTTGTCTATGAAGTTGCTTTCTCTTGTGAAACAGACACGTTTTGGTTAAAAGCTTGTTTAGTAAAGGAGAAAAAGTCAAAACTAAACTTTGAACAATGAATTAATAAGATAGTGTAAATTTTTACAGAGGCTGAGAATTGCAATGAATTTTCAAAACCGCTCGGTTTGTATTCCCTAAGGATGCAGACGAAAATGATTTCTTTGTAACCCGTCATGCCTTTACAGTTGTAGAGTTTCACTTTCCCTGTCTGTGCGTGCATATCTGCATGTGCAGGATAAGGCTTCTGCCAGAAAGTCGAAGTTGTTATCATGTGAAAATAAAAAATTTGTGTGTAAATACATTCAAAATACGTTGCCTAGCATAGATCGTCCATGCAATATGAACGTCTCTCAAAGAGTGTGCCAAATCTCAACCTGAAGGAGGTTCCACTGGGAGCTGTGCGGTGCAGTCAGCAGTACCGCTGCCTTTATTTATTTATTTATTTTTAAACTATTTACAGAGTTTTAGATGGTTTTCGGATAAAAAATGTTTCAGGTTCACTGGAAGTACTGGGTCCGATAGCAGTGCCTCAGGCGTAGGCAGTGTAAGTGGCGGTGCCCAGTCTAAACGTGGAATTACTGTTTGTTTACTGTCTTGAGGCACCGAACCCCGTCTGTCAGGCAGAAAGTGTTTGTTATAATGTAGGCACTTACTGTCTTGCTCCAGCCCATCTTGAGTGACATCAAAACATAAGCCCGCATGTTATTGCCACGTGCCTCAGAGTTCCTAAACGGGCCGCGGCTCCCAAAGCCGCCGGCGTTGAGTGGCATGTTTGGTCTTTTGGAGGAAAAATCCTGCCTCTAGCCCAGCATTTGCATCCGCAGAGACAGTTGTCACAGCTGCTCGTAGCAGTGTTGACTGTCACGTCTTTTAGCGCAAATGCACCTAATCCAAGTAGCTAGGCAGTCACTACATTTTGTGTTTTGTGGGTTTTATTTCTGGGTTCTTTATAAATCTCTCATTTCTTTAAGACCGGTGTTCGGAAGGGCTGTAGTGAGCTGCTTGGAGGCTGGGCAGTGGAGAGGGCGAAGAAGGCACACTCACTTTCCTCAGTTTGTTTCTAACTTGAAGTACTTCCTAGCTCTAAAGAAAGAGCAACCCCTTCTGGCTCTCCTTCAGCTGCGCTTGTAGCTCCAGAAATAACCACAGGGTTTTCACTTGAACCATTAAAAAAGGGTGGCTGCTAAGCAGGAGGAAATGATTCTCAGCAGGCACAAATCTATTTCATGTGTTTTTATTCTTTCCATTTCTTTTAAATGGAAAACAATCTGAGCAGTTTCTGAGGATAAGGGATATAAATCTGTCTGCTGCTATTTATACCGTGCTCGTCACTACAGTGTCTAAATGCTTAAAATATATATCTGCTGCCTAACCTGAGGTGGTCTTCAAGCTGCTTTGGCTGTCAAGAGCAGACGCATCTGCTCAAAACCAGTAGTGAGCCGAAGTCCCAGGAGACATCTCAGTCTCGCTCTCACCCCTGCTCGGACCGTGGCCGTCAGTGGCTTGGCATGAAGCAGTTGACATCCTGTGGCAGTGCCAGGGTAGCTGCAGAGACCCTGGGCTGGACACCACGTTGAATCGGGACCCAGAGAAGTGACTTTCTGGTGTCTTTCACCAGTACAATAAGCACCTGCTTTACTAGGCAGTAGTACTGAAAGGGAAGATTTAGTGGCGTAAGCCTCACAGACGGCGTTATCTGTGCTGTTCTTCTTCTTTGGGTGGATAAACTGTGTGGGTGTCTTTTGAACCAGGCCGTAACAGTGGGGCTCTCTGTCCTAGGTGGATATTTTAATAAGCAAATGTCTTCCCTTTGCCTGTATTTGAATGAGAAGATACCCCTTCTCTGTCTGAACGCTTTCCTGTATGCCTCACTTACTGCATGCACCTGCATATTATTCTTTATTCCCATATTCTACATGGACATTCAAATAACATTAAACCCCTGATTCAGAGATATTTTTTTAAACGGTTGTTGTTAGTCATTTTTGTATTGACTGAATTTTTCATTGGTAATATTGTTGGCAGCAGTCCATGTCTGCCTGGCTGGAGGCCAGTTTAAGCTCGGCAGGATGAGCCCTATTGTT